GCTAGGCGTTATATTACGCCCGGGAGCCAAGATGGCTAGGTGAGTAAGACGTTTATTCGCTAGCCTGGAGGTCTTGTGTTCGATCCCTGCGTTGGCCAAGAATGTTTATCGGGATTTTCCGGGTTTGTTCACTCTTATCAGTGGTGCGGGACGGAGGGCCTGGCAAGGGACAACGTATAGTCATTCAGATGGGCGTGCACGTAAAAGATCCCATGGAATTCGATATAAGAGTAGGCCGTGGCGCCGGTGTCCGGGCAAAATTTCCCTCATAGTGCACTGCATTAGCCCGTCTTCATTAGCCCAATCGGGGCAGAAATGTAGGACGTTAAACCTCATTTCATCTTTTTGATCCCGATTGGTGCAGTAAAGGAAGGACGTTAAACCCCCTTGTTTTTGTTTTTCGCCAGATTTTTACAACGAAATCATCGGTTTCACAGTTTATCTATTCCTAATCTGATTAAATTTTAAACGATCTATACTTCGTTTCGTTTTTTTGTACTTTCGATGGCCTACGCTATATGAAGATCTGACAAGTTGTACTCGAAGGTCGTGTCAGGGGTCGTACGAACGGGTTTTGACCCTATGACGTCAGACATTGATTAATCAATCAGCGTTGATGTTTGTAGTGGTTTACCCACAGTTCCGTGCATGACAAGCCAAGAAGTCGCCGTAACAGACCGTTTCATTGGCTTATCCTTCACAGATCCTAGTGTAGTAAAGACAAGTAAAACGAAATTTTGAACTATAAAAAACGAAACGAAATAGGATATGTGTTTTAATCAGATATGCGCGATTATCGAAAGGAATCGAGTTCTTTGTGATTTAAACATAAATTTTAAGTTGCATCATAATCGGACAAAATTGTGGCCTCTAGAGGGTTCACAACTTTGATAGACCATATTTTGAGATCTTTTGGAGATAAACCTATATCTCAAGTTTCATCAAAATCGGATAAGAATTGTGACCTGTAGAGAGTCCACAAACAATTGTGGACGGAAAGGCGGACGTCCGGGGGGGGGGGGGTGCGTATAAAAATCTTGCAAAAGCGTTTGTGTACTGGTGTTTTGATGCATCTCGGGTTTCATCAAAATCAGATGAAAATTGTGACCTCTAGAGTGTACACAAGCTAAAAACATGATTTTTCGTACAATCAGGGGCCATAATCTATGAAATTTCGATCCGATACATGCCAATATCGAAAGCAACCGAGATCTTTTGGAGATGAACCTTTATTTCAAGTTTCGTCAAAATCGGATAAGAATTGTGACCTGTAGACGGACAGGCAGACGTCCAGACGGGGCGTATAAAATCTTGCCAAATAGTTTGTGTATTGGTGTTTTGTAAAATATGGCTTTAACTGCATTAGTTCAACAGGTATAACTTATTAAGTCTTCCGAAATATAATCATGTGTTATAATCTTAATCTATTTAATCAAGTAAGGTCAAATCTGGCCATTTCGGGAATGGTACCCTTACCCGAGAAGAAACGGGAAAATCCGGCGAAAATCCACGAGGTCAGACAGCTACAAACCTCTTGTCCACCTACACGGCTTGGATCGATACCTCGCCACGCCAATTGACCCAACTGCATACTTCTAACCTACAGCACACTCGTGACTCTGTCACCCAACAGTTTGTTTGTTGAATATAAGCGCCACTTTAACATCACCATAGGTAAATAGAGCTATATCGTGACCTTTCCCTATTATATATGTTCTAATTATTAACAAACAAGTTTACCTTCTTTCAATATATTTAATAACAAAGATAATGAATAAATGATGAAATAGAAAGAAAAGTGTTTAAAGAATGAAGGCAATTTAATCCGAAAGGTTTATTTTCTTTTTATAAAAAAGGGCGATGGTGCTTTCGGCTAGACTAGTAAAGATAGTTGGATTACCTATGGTTATATATGTTCAGTGATCATAGTCGACTTTGGGACCATATAACGAAGTTTCCGGGATCTCTATCTTTTCATCATATGCGAACGACTATGCATTATTTCATTTAAGGACCTACGGGCGTTTACCCATAAAAAGGGAACCAGACACATCTCAATCCTGTTCGGAATTTTATACTGAAAGTTAGATGCGCATAACCCGTTTCACTATATAACCCACTGAAGTAAACATTTTAAATTTATAAAAGTAAAGATATTGATAACATAAATTTCTCTCTTAAGATTGTGATATGCCCTTTATAAGATCCTTTCTTTCCTATTTTGTCTTTAAATTACAAATAACTTTATTAGAATATTAAGAGAAAATTAATATATTTTTGGGTGTTTATCTGGATGACATTTTCTCTTGTTTTCTTTTTTCGTTCTTGTTTTTTGGAAGAATCAATGATATATCTCAGATCAATTTATGTACGACTTTGAGATGACATTTTATGCCTGATTATATTTATGTAATCTGTTTCATTACTTTCCAGGACAGAAATAATGTTCATTAACCTATCATTAAAGACATGTTCATTAACCTATCGTCTGCGTGACTTGATGAGTGATAAGTGTATGTTATCTAAAATATCCAGTAATATATTCACTTAAAGGAGCATTACAATATGTCGGAAACAAACATTTGAATTTTGATTTCATTTGATTTGATTTGGTAAGGAGTTCAAATAAATTTATTCATCGGTTGACTCGGCGAACAGGATATAGTCTCATATACCTCGTGTTAAGTGCCGATTGTAAAGATCTGCGGCGCTTGACTTTTATTAGTTTTGTGTTAAAATCCCTTAAAATCCTCTACCTTGGGGCCGAGCAGCAACAATTTAAACCCGCCAGTCTTAATCTGGAAGTGGGGACCGATGCCCCAAGCTGTATTATGCGGTGTCTGGATAAAACCAGACTTTTATGTTATAAGAATAATGTGTAGGTGAAATTTACCTTTCGTTATCAAGTACAGCACATGGGTCATTGGTTGTATAAACCCCTAAAGGAACGGGAATCGATTATCAGGTCACCCAACTAAAGAATTGACCCAAAATCTGAAAAAGGGTTACGTGTCCGGATAAGCAGTTTTGACGTTCACGTCCAAATGACTCAATATATTGAGCAGAAATTTTGAGACAGGGTAAATACACCATTCCGTTATATTTTGGCGCTTAAATTTCATACGTACTCGGACTTTTATTCTTGAGACTCTGTTCAATTCGGGATAGTCCCTTTAAGAATGACTTGGAGGACAATTGACTGGGGCTCACATAAAGATACAAACACGGAACAATGTAACACGTCATGAATGGGGTCAATTAAAACCATGAGAAAGCAAATGTTGAATATTAACACTATATACATCCTTGATCGTGTCAACACACATCAAAGTTATAAATAGATTATTTCGGGCCTAACCAGGCAGTATCTGTCAAGATTAACGTTACGAGAGAAGAGAAGAAGAAGAGAAGAATTGTTTTATTAATGTGTCACACATTGTACAATAGCAATAAAAACACAATTTGCGAAAAAACAAAAATTATAAGTGTACAATGTCCGGCCTTTAAGGCCTACGAGACACAACAAGCATGATTTTAATCATCTACATTCGAAGATAAAAAAAAAATAAATACATGTAGTAACAAAGATAAAAATAAAATGAAAATTTGAATCGTACTAACAATAATATTTTCCTATTACATGTTCTTTAGTATTTTAGCAATCACAATATAAATCGATTAGAATAAGAACACATTAAGTAACTAAAAACAAATAGGCATATAAAATAAAAGTAATCAAAGTGTCATCATATGTTAAAATATTTTCTGCGATAAAACATTTTTTTAACAGTGGCAGCTAGGATTTTTACCAGGTGCGAATTGGTCATTAGGGAACATAGCTGGTGAGTTGGTGTCAGTGTTGGGAAATGTGGGTTTATGGTGGCTGCGGCGTTCCATAGCTTTCGTCTCAGGTCAAAGTAGCAATCACATGTACACAAGAAGTGAGTCTCATCCTCTATATTTGACGTGTGGCAATAATTACATTTTCTGTCTGTTAATAATGTCACTGGTCTTACAAAACGTCCAGTTTCTATTGCTAAGGGCAATGACCCACAACGTTATTTTGCTAAAACACTACGTTGCGATCTGTCGAGTATACATTTTACATAAGGTTCGACATACAATGAGTGCTTAAATAGCCTATATGTTCTTAATTTGTTACCATTAATTAACCCCTTATCATTCCATAGGCCCTGATACCAGAGCCTACAATCTAACGCATTTAGTGCTTCTTTTAGAGATAAAAAATCTGTTTTGCGATTATTGAATAAATCAGGAATTGGGATTTGCAATTCAACCATTAACTTTATTACAGTGTTGTTCCAGGACTTTCTGAATTTAAAAGACCACACCTTAACCTTACTAACAAGGCGTGTTGATTCTACACATGATAATCTTCTCCAGAATCTAATAATTTCTACTTTCTGTTTTGTAAAGTTTGATGTCCAACCCATATCACCACGGACTGCCAAATTTGGTGTTTTACTTCCCACGCCTAAGAAAAAACGACAGGCTCTATTCTGGACGTTATTAACGCATCTAAATTCTCTAGTGCCCCAAATCTTGAATTTTGAAATAAACAAGTTCTCGTTAGCATAGCGCGGCACGTGCTTTAGACCATCAAATTTCAAAGGTCGAGGTTACTTGATAAAGATTTGATTTTGTCTTAACCCACACCCGTCTTCATCAGCCCAGTTGGTGCAGAGAAATAGGACGTTAAACCCCATTTCAGTTCTTAGCTCAGAAGGATTTTTTACAAATCCCTTTAGCGGAGATTCTTTACTCAATAGGCAATGTAAGTGGAAGTCTGTTTAAGAGGATTGTGATGAATGACTAAATTAGTAGATATTATAATAATATATCTCAAGTAGTCTACGTCTTATTCATAGTGACTAAGTTAATGAGATCATTCACATATCCGTTCTGACCAGGATAAGCTAAATGTCCATCTGGAGGAACAAGTCTATTAATGCTATTTATAGATAATGCGTATATACAATAACAATCATTGACCTATACTAAGCTTATTAAGGTTATATCGACAGGGAGTCAACATGGAAGAATTTAACAAGAAAACTAAACATGATTTTGATTTAGAAGTCGTCCTCGATGCTTTAAAGAAATGTCGCCTCAATGATGATACTGTTGTACTATCAGAATATATCCGAGCTTACCGAGAACTTTGCAGGTGAGTCATACTAACAACAATTTCACCTTTTTATCAAGGTAAACGTGATAAATACATGTGCGGTGTTAGTTATTATATCTGTTTTAACGTTGTAAAAAGTTAGAATACATATAACATGGACCCAACAGTGTATTATAGACGGCATATGACGGTTTGAAGATATAATTAAGTTTGTGTAAACTGTACAGTGAACGTATATTACTTAAGATTTCAGGATCTATCCAACAGATAGCTTTATTTATAACCCTTGCCGACCGTAGTAATATGGTTGTACGTGACAAGGAGTAGGGTCGCCTGTCCAACCTCGTGGGTTTTCTCCGGGTCCTCCGGTTTCCTCCCACTGCTAAAGACCCATATGCGCAAGCGAATTATTGAAATAAAATTAAACCATATGTTAGTCCCGAAATGACCTAGTTTGTGTCGAGTGGACGTTAAACCCCATTTCTCTCTCTCTCCGTAGTAGTAATATAGATGGTATTCTTGTCATAGTGTCCAGCCAATCACCAGTGGTGTACTACCTGTAAAAAGTTTAGTATTGAATTCGAAAATATCTTTTTTTTCACCGATTAATCTACTCTAATATGTACTCAGATTTATTATTTAGTATTTAATTAAGAAATCAAATATCAACTGTAGATGATCTCCAGGCTTGGATTCAGCTGGAAAATTAAAATTTAATTAGGAAAATCAAATCGATGTATCAACGGTAGACGCTCTCGGCTTGGAATTAGTTGGATTAGAAAGGGGTATCGGAGATTTAGTTGGATTAGAAAGGGGTATCGCAGATTTAGCTGGATTAGAAGAAGCTCTCGCAGATTTGACCATTGTCGGTTAATTTTGTCAACTGGGGATATAGACAGTTCAACATATTTTTGTAAATACAGAACAGAATTGGACCGTGTTTGGATTAATATTTCTTTTAGAGCTCCAACTTCCACAATATTGTTGTTTGCAGGGAACATCACTCCTTCTTCTTTTAGTTTTTGCCCTTTTTTGTATTTTGTAAACAGTATTTTATTTCATTTGAAAATGGATTGTGGAACAGGCTCTGCACATTACGTTTTCGTGTGGTTTTAAAATCCGTTCTGTGTGTTTGATCCCCTAATTCATCCCTGGTACACATCTTTTATAGGTTTCATTATCGAGGTAGTTTTGAGTAAGATAATTCATTTGTTTTAGCTGTATACTGATTTTGAGACTTTCACTCTACCGAAAATCTTTTGATACCTTTTGACTTATTGTATAACATGATACATCCATAAATGATCACCCCGGGTGTTTTATAAAATTGTATGATCAAGTTTTGTTTAAACTGGAGACTTTTTATGCTGTCCTTGGTGGATGTAATGATACAATAAGATCTCATCTTATCTTACCGTATCTTTTAGAAGTGTGGGTTAGGTGTAAAGCAAATAAGACTGGCTGTTCTTCTCAAAGTTCATACTTAGAAATTGTATCTATTGGTTGCTATCTATTTATAAAGATCCCGAATTTTTTTTTAAAAAAAAAGAATAGATACAATTGAATATTATTACAATATATACATCTGTACCATCAAAAGACTATTCTATTCTTGATTTATTTTATACCTGAAGGCAGATTTTGTCTGTCCTATAGGGTAAGAATTTGTCCTAATCCCACGCATTTGTTAAACATACATTATGCAAGAGCTAAATCTCGATAACCAACTCTCGATGGCATCGGATTTCTCCGATATTAAATAGATTAAAACGGTTCAGCCATATTTTGATTTAATTTAAATATGGAGGAGCGAGACTTACATGTATCTTCAAACAGCAAGTACGGTAGGTGAAATTATTGCACACGTCTTGTCAAACCTTCAAAGGCTAATATCGTCGCTCGCAGTAGAGTAATTTGAATGAAATTTTCAATATTTTCATTTTACAGTATCTATTTTAGAGCTATTATAGCAATAATGGCTTGCTCTCTATCTACATCTTACATAATGTTTTTTTAATTAGCGTGGTTATAATCACATACAGTTTAGAAATGTTATATGCTTTATCTTGCCTTGAAATTACACGTAACCTCGGGTCAATATTGTCGAATTATTATTATATTGAGTTATTCGGCATTAATTTATTATACACGTTACATTAAAAACCTTTCAGTATAACTTACAATGAAAATATTATGACTCGACAAAATGTCTGAACCAGGTCAGCTGTTACCGCCAAAATATAAATTGATTTCAAGCAGAACGTTTTTATTATTAATATATGTATTTGAAGTACGCGTCAGTTAACATTGCTCTTATATATATATATAGGGTTTAAATTGTTTAAAGGTACATTATGAAAGATTTAGATAAAGAGCCGACAGTTCTCGCCGTATTAGTTTAAAAATAGATGATGAAAAGGGAATACCTTGAAATGTCAGTCCATTTACTTTATTCGGGGCGAAGTTATGATGAATGTTGGAAGTTTTGATAAGAATAGCGTAGTCTCAGTGTTTATTGTTACGATAATACACAACATCGTGATTGTCCATTTTTTAAATGAAATTATTAAATGGCGTTCATGTTTCAGTCCATTAAAACTCGCGACCATCCGATGTTCTAGAGGGTGGGATATGGGCTTGGTATGTGAAAAAAATGTATAATTAATATAACATTTAAGATTAAACGAAATAACTGCAATGGGCAGATTTAACTCTCGCATAATGCATCTTTAAATGGCGACACGTACTGCTAAACTCGTTGAGTTGCTTTCAACATTTAGTCCCCGAATGGCTTTACCGTCTCGCCAACACAATGTTTCGGTCATTTGCGAATCACATATTTTTTCACTGAATTCCAGTTATCGAGGATTCTGTTACGTGCAGGTCAATGGCGAACCTCACTTTACCTGTCACCAGTCCTAAATCCATGTGTCACAATGCAGTTAAAATAGTACGTTTCCGAAAAACAAAAAAGGCTTTTATTATAAAATTGCGTCGAAGCGATCTATTTTATAGGCATGGCGACAGTTTCTTTACTCAAAACTTTAGTGTAGAAAATATTTCTCCTAACGTGATAATGGCGTTTACTTCCAATCGTAAGCTGGAAATCGCGGTACATACGACATGATTCGGATGCGGCATTAATATAGAACTAGTTAATTAAGATAGATGGCCCCTAATTGCCAGAGAAAACATATAATAGACTTAACAACCAAATAGTCTGTATTTAGACAAATAATCCCTTGTTAATAAACTAATGACAAGTACTATAGAGCTACATATTAATATTGGACTGGATACTAATGAAAACACCTCATTAGTATAGAAACATGGTGGATTTAACAACTAGATAGTCTAAATTTAGAAAGTTCACCAGCTAATAAATTTGCGTATAAAATGGCTTTTGACACCGAATTAGTACCAATATCTGAAACTACTTCATTTAACACGACTGCTATTTATATATAAATATTAATATGGAATTGGCATATCTTTAGTTTGGATTTAACAACTGGGTAGTCTAATTATATAGACAAATAAACAAGAACATTTTCAATACAAGTAAAATGTAAATGGATGACAGTTGACCTATCAATGTAGATATTGGGGTTAAATTTCACCTCTTGGGACTTATAAACCAATCGACCTATATTACCCTTGGCAAGGAAAAATTATGAAATTCATAGGTTACACATACATTGACCTGTATTTAGTAAGTAAATGAGGTATAATGAGTTTTTGTGTGTATATATATATATTATAAAACACCATTGACAGAGATATATATACTAAAGTACAGCATGTTTTATATACCAATGGTTGTGTTATATATTTATATATATACGCCACAAAGCACGGATCATGGATATTGACACGAATACATATACCAGGAGGTTGTTATTATGTTCTGTCTGATTAAACACTTTTCAGTATTGTATAACGTTGATCTGTAATAGAGCTTTATTGGGTTGCGTTTAAATAACCATTTTTATTCTTAATTTACTGAACGACAAAAGATACGCCGCACTAATGTATGACTTGTAAATGGACCATTTAAAATGTTTTACATCGTGATAATTCCTCGTTTACTATTGAAATATAATTTGGTATGATCATTTGTTACCTTTGTAAAATGTGCGGCGTTTCTTTTGCTCTACGGTATATTACTACAATGGTCCTACGAGGACTGTGTCTTCTACATACCAAAGAAATACCAAAAAAAGAAACACATATATCGATGGCTGAGTATGTATATGCTACATGTCCATTTATCTTGTTTCGAGAAAATCGCATTGTAAACTTTTGAATTCCAATTTCAAATCAGGGAATTATCCGAACATGATATACTATTATATGTTATATATTGGTTAGTACTATACAAATCGAGATGATCATTTGAATAAAATTGGTTCCTGACTTCTGGCAAATTGGTTTCATATGGACAATCGTTTATGCAAATTGAACTTTTAAATCAGGTCCAGATTTTGATAAACATAATGCCATGTTAGTTATATTATATGCACAGGAATGAATTCAATTTTAAGAAATATTGAGCTATTGACCCATTTTAAAAATACATTTACACAAACTTTAAGACAACGTGTTTTGTAGGCGATGTGTCCACTTGGTTCCTGTTTAGTGTTATGAGCTTTCAGTAGACAAAAGATACATGTCCACAAATACCACTTTTGCATACTAAACTTTTGCTGAAAGAGGACATATGCTATGTTTTCATGGCAATAACATGATACTCTAATTAATCTGGACTAACAGCATTTACACAGTAGAAGGGCGCATGTTTATACTATTCAAAATGGTCAAAACATCATTTTGACCAAAACTGGACATGTAACATTTGTATGCTCAGCCATCGATATGTTAATAAATGAATATTTATCAACAATTATATGTTAATACATGACGCATACAAATAAATATTATAGATATATGTTAAATAATAAATAGAGATAACGATATAATATCAAGTTAGACACTTGAATGAAGTTCGGAAAATTTACAAGGGCAGCGACGCACTAGACAAACATTCAGATGTTTAAAAGTACATTGATATAAGTGACTTTAATTTACAGCCCAGAAAAAAAGTTTTGTTTTAAATTTAGATGGCGTTACGTTTGAAGTGGTTTTATTCCGAACATTAGTAGTTGATAGACATTTGCTTGATTTTAGATATCATGTTCTGCTGTTAAAAGTTCAATAAAACGCCATCTTTCAACATGGGTTGAAATTATATAAGTTATCTGTATTATTGATTAAACAAGACGATAACTTAATTAGAACATTGACACACGACGTGTGATATTGAAATAGACTTAATAGCAAAAGAGGACTTAAAGATGCATTATTTAAGAGCTAATTCTGCCTATTGCAGCTCCTTCTTCTGGCTTCGTATGTTATATAGATTATTATTTAGACATTTATTCACATGACAAGCCCATATCAACTTTCTATACCACCCGATGGCTAAGATATTGATTGGATTAGACATATGTCATATCTTTGTTAAACTTAAAATGGACGTTACTCACAGACTGAAGGACTGAAATCGAAACACCATTTTATTACAGTGGCAATGGTACTTGACAATCGAGATTACGCTTTTCTCTTCAAAACTTCAAATATGCATAACTTGGATCAGAATAGAATAATTTGAGTGAAATTTTAAATATAACTATTCTTCACTGTCTACTTTTTTATATAATAAAGCAAGAACGGTCAACTCTTTATTTAAATCTTTAATAATGCATCTTTCAATGAATAGGTTGTAATTAAGATCTTTAGAGGCTACTCGCACTGAAAAGATATGGTGCCGACATATGTATGGAATTCAAAAAGATACATCCATGCAGTACTTGAAGAAACTCTGCGGTGACCCCTGCCCCCTCTCAATCGAGGGTTAGGGTATCTTAAATTTTCAACTCAACATATTAAAGGGACATTGTGGAAAATTAGATAAAGAGCTGACAATTCGCGTTGTAATAGTTAAGAAATAGATAACATAAAGAGAATGTGCTAAAAATTTCAGTCAGATTGATTCACTCTGAACCTAGGTATTAGCGATTCAATTTTAGGCTAGCCTCGATTGTCATTACTACCATTGTTACGATAATAAATTCTCTACGCGTATTATAAACATATCCCTATACTGTTACTCATCTATATTATTAACCTTACTGTTTTGATTGAATGTCGCCCTTGATTGTATATGGTTCTCATTACTAGCCTGTCCAAACCTATTATCTTGTTTATTTAGTCATTGGATATTGTTTGTTATGGTGCTTGTATTTCTAATTATTAGTGTTAGCTATATCTTGGTAAATGGTCTCATCTTTATTACCTCATCAACTATAACATGTTTTCACCCAACGGCTCCCTTTGCAGGTCTTCACTATTAGTTTAATATTATAATTCTTTGTCTGGACTGATTAATTAGAAAGCCTAGTATCTTGTTGTATTTTAGAATCTTTTACTTATTATTGTCATAACCAACCCGCCCAAACCCACTATTCATATTAATCACCTATCTTGTTTATTTAGTCATCTGAGATTGGGCAGTGTGGTGCGTGTATTACTAAATATTAGTGTTATCTATATCTTGGTAAATGGTCCCATCTTTATTACCTCATTAACTATAACCATGGACCTTATAATACAAGGTCCATGCTATAACTTGTTTTCACCCAATGGCTTACTTTGAAGATCTTATAATTAGTTAATATTATTCTTTGTATGGATTGTTTAATCAGTAAGACTATTATATATCTTGTTCTGTTTTTTTTTTGTTTAATCTTTTACTTCTTATTGTTATTTAATCTATGTAAATGGCTTGATCATGCAATTCTTATATATTCAACCCTCGTTTACTAACACCAGGATACTACTACTACTACTGCTACTACTACCACTAAATGTTATTGTCTACGATATCACCTTACGTGGAAGTGGACGTAACACTCTGGAAAGGAACGAACGAACTAAATGTTATTGTGCTTGATAATGATAAAAGGTTACTTGTATAAACCAGTGATTGTTTCCCATGAAAACTGCGTCCCGTTCATAATAACCAACGTGTCGATTATCCATAGATTCAAATCTATTTTAAATCGTACCCATCAGATGGCATCGAGAGTTGATTATGGTCTTGTCATGTTAAAAATGTCTAATGAATGGGTTATAATAACATTTAATTATTAATGGATTCTCTTGGAACTTGTTATTTCAAATGTCTATTGAATGGTTTATAATATATAACATTTAATTATTAATGGATTCTCTTGGAACTTGTTATTTATTTCTTATATCCTAAGGATGGCAACTGTTGATTTTGGTGCATGCCCAAACCCCAGGGGCGGTGGCACGCCCACGTTTCGTTCATATTTTGTATCTAAATTCTCTACCGGTCACAAGTATTAAAATATTTTGTTCAAATTCGGCATAACCAATCATTTCAATAACAGGACTGTACCTATTTATATTGGTCCGTCCAACCCCCATGGACAGAGCAACGCCAAATTTTTGCGTTTATCGTCTAAAGGCCGCAATTCTGAATGAATCATCTTGGAACTTGGCATATGTTTTACTGACGGCAACTATCGGGGGTAGAGTCACGTCCCATTGTTGTTTTTAGCGCCTACAGGCTGCAATTCTGAATGAATTAGCTTGGTACTTGGTATACTGATTCCTTATACCCTAAGGACGGCAACTATTGTTGTTAACATTTTGCCTGTAAATACTTGCAATTATTAACAACTGTTGTTCACGTTCAGCGTGATAAATCATTTCAATATCAGGATTGTACCTATTTATATGGACCCATGTTCAAGCCCCAGGGACAGAGTCACGCCTATTCTTTGTGTTTATCGTCTACAGGCTGCATTTCTTAATGAATCATCTTAGAACTTGGCATATTTATTCCTTATACCACAAGAACGGCAACTATTGATTTTGGCACATATTCTACACGGCCACAGCAAATTGTCTTTATCAGTATTATCACCCACAGGCCGCAATTCTGAATGGATCATCCTGCAACTTGACATAATAAATATGTATTCTACCCAAAGGACGGCAACTATTGATTTTGGTGTATGGCCAACCCCCAGGGCCGGTGCCACACACATTCTGTTGTTAATATTATTTAGCCTGTAAATTTGACAAAAAAAAACCCAAACGCCTAGTCTTCTATGTCTCTTGTCGTATTAAGTCGTTGCAGCCATCTCATATTTCATTCTCTTCATTTTAAAAAGTACCATATCAATCAAAGCAGGAATGTGGACGTATCATCCAACGTTGTCTCGAATTAAACAAGCCAACAGTGAGGCTGATGTCCCCCGCCGAAATTGCAAAATAAATAGATGACACATATTAATTAATCGCACATTTATTTTTTTCACTAAGTTTCATCACTCTCTATCAGATAGAATCAAGATTATCTTGTCCCAAACCATCGACAAATGAAATCGATTAGCTCTGCTTAGCTTCAGCTCGAAATGTTAATTATTGAACTCAGTCAAGACATTCACCTAATGAACATCTACATCAAGTTTAAACATTCACCTAATAGACACCTATGCCAAGTTTGAACATTCTACCTCAATTAGAAGGAGAGTTATTGTGTTCCAAAGTTTCTACCAATCAAATTGCTTATCACTCTGCTTACCCTCAGCAAAAAATGTTCATTATCGAACTTAGTTAAGGTATTCATATAATAAATCTATACACCAAGTTTCATCAATCTCACTTAATTAGAACTAAAGTTATCGTGTCCCAAAGCATCAACCAATCAAATTGCTTATCTCTGCTTACCCTAAGCGGAAAATGCTCATCTTCGAACTCCATCAAGGCATTGACCTAATCAACACATACACCAAGTTTGAACATTCTAGCTCAATTAGGAAGAGAGTTATCGTGCCCCAAAGTATCAACCAATCAAATTGCTTATCTCTGCTTACCCTAAGCGGAAAATGCTCATCTTCGAACTCCATCAAGGCATTGACCTAATAAACACATACACCAAGTTTGAACATTCTAGCTCAATTAAAAGTTATCGTGTCCCAAAGCATCAACCAATCAAATTGCTTATCTCTGCTTACCCTAAGCGGAAAATGCTTATCTTCGAACTCCATCAAGGCATTGACCTAATCAACACATACACCAAGTTTGAACATTCTAGCCCAATTAGGAAGAGAGTTATCGTGTCCCAAAGCATCAACCAATCAAATTGCTTATCTCTGCTTACCCTAAGCGGAAAATGCTCATCTTCGAACTCCATCAAGGCATTGACCTAATAAACACATACACCAAGTTTGAACATTCTAGCTCAATTAGGAAGAGAGTTATTGTGTCCCAAAGACGGACAGACAGACAGACAGACAGACAGACGGACGAACCCATTTTAATAGTCCCCTGCTTTCTTCGAAAGGCGGGGGACAATGAACACCTACCACGTGTATATCATCGAAATAGTATCTCAGACTTTCAGATTCTAGACAGTTAACAGGATATAGAATTCATATTGTCTTCAAAATAATCAGCCGCTTTTGTGGAACAGAAGTTGTTCTTCTGGGGATTTCGTTCAGCTCTCCGAGCTCACACAGGCTTAAAAGATACAGACATTCTATATGAAAGAGCTTTTTAAAAAATATTTCTCCTTTTTATTTATTTTCAGGTTTTTCAAACTGACGGGTCGGCTGTTTGGCTTTGTTGCACGAGATCTTGAAGGTAAAATTGCCATTGTGGAAAAACACAGGAACCTGGATAAAGACAATAATTACGTATCTGTTCAGTCCATTCTTAAATATGAATCGAGTAAAGGTATTGCCAAGGTCAAATCTCCATTGTCATCTGGTTCAAGGACGTTGCTACGTCTACACAACGCATTCGAATTTATTATAGCATTTATGAAGAGAGTGCGAGAAGGGCCAGAAAATGAGAAAACATCAAAAATAGCGGCTGAAGTTTACAACCAGACTCTAAGCAACCATCATCCTTGGCCAGTACAAAAAATGGCGCTATTAGCAGTCCACTTGCTTCCGCCTAAAAAACAACTGATTGACGTCATGTGTAAACAGGAATACAGTCGCGTGATGGAACTTCTGGATGACGTCATTTCCTATGGCCAACCTATATATGATATAACAGAAAGTGTGTATAAAGAGCATGGTTTATTAGTTATTCCATAGTCCCCAGGTATATTAGTGTTATTAAATAACTTCTACTGTGATATTGGCAATTACTTAACTTATGAAGACAAAAGGGGGACAATTAATGCCCCGGGTGAACAACATCACGAACACGTGTCGTTATCAGAACGAATTGCATTCCTATTCTTTATTTAAATTGAGTTGTGACAAAAAGTCGAATTCTGTCTAGACTGAGTATTGTTCTGCTACTGTTCTCCGTTGCTTTGATACAATGTTGGTTTTGTTTTTGGTTGAAAACGAGGTTATTTATAATAGCAATATAACTCACACAATACATCACAAGGTAAATCACACTATTAGCTACTAATCTCACAACATCCCTCTCACGAGGTGATGGGTGTTCCGGAAACAGTAAGCATGCTACATTTAAAATGATTCATACTTCATATTCTAAGTTCGTAAATGTGGTTTTAAAATATTGAAGTGGAAATAGGTTTATACCGGTTAAAATAATATTTCGTTATTAATCAGTCTTAAATGATATCAGTTGTTAAGAATGCATATTTATAACGCAACGCAATTAGTCAAAACGACGGGATGCAATGCTCAGTTGCAATAGCCTTCTATAGGGCAATTCACAACGTCTGTCGTCTCTGACGTCACTCACAAAAAAAATCAAAACGAGAGTGCAGATATGTCAATTCGGTTTTGTTTTTTTGTTGGTTTTTTTTTTTTTTTTTTTTTTTATGGGGGTTATAAAAATATTCAGAGTGACTTTTAAAATTTCGCAGGGCCATAAATATTCTAATGTTAACGTTATTTTTCATATTAAAACAACTTTTTGTGGTATTATTCTCCATTAATTTTCGTCAAAATGATAGATGTTTTATGATAAAGTAAGCTGTAAATAGGCATAATATATCATGTTTTAAAATATGCAAAAGGAGAGCATGATTGATTTATAGGCTACGAATTGATAATTTTGTTGTGTTATGGTGAACAGTTATGTTGAACTGGTTTACCGACAAGTCTAACCGCGTAATTAAGTGAAGGAAAACATGCATGCGCTTTAATAGAGACAGTGCTGTACAAATACAAACATAGTACAATTTGCACACACAGGCACAGCCATGTTGGATATAAAACCAAGAGGAACGAGTTACCAAAAATATGGAACATCCGATGAAAGTTTTATGTATCGAATGAAACAAAAACGCACACAAAATTTCACGATATGTTACAGACAATTCAAACATTGTGTTCAATTGTGATTGATGCTCGTTTTGTGTAAAGCATATTGTCATAACTTAAATACCTTCCCCCTTTCATTTGAAAAATAAAAAAAATATCAGCGATACACGGTAGTTAATTATTTGATCGTTAAAATATATTCACCCATCATCTGTGATATCTGTTCTGGATGGTTCAGCCTAACGATCAGCAAAATTGCTCTATAAAATGAAATGAAATGAGGTTAGCGTCTGACTGTTTTGCTCCTACTTGGCATATGCCATGTAATGTGATATGAGGGACATTTTGCCTTGACAGCGGCGCTATAGCCTACTCTTATTTCGAACCCCGACACTGTCAAGGTTTCTTTTTTATATACACGCCAATGTGTACACGGTACCTCGGTTTGTCGTCCCATTGGAACGACTATACGTTGTCCCTTGCCAGTCCCTGGGATCGATCACGGGACCTCCAGGTTAGGGTGCCAACGTCATACTCACTGGGACACCGTGGCTCCCTAATTTCGCCATAGAGCAGCTATATACATCACATGTTTGCCTAATCGGGTTATAATAAAGTGTTACAATATACCCCGTGTTTTGCTGACATGCTATTTAACACTTCATTCATTCACTGTCTCGTAAATTCTGTCTATCAGGGTTTGTGAGCTTGTCCAATCAGTGCGAACTTATAAAAATTTTATCATTGGTCAAAATGATAAATAGCTTTTTAAATAGAATGTTGTGAACATATACATATTTACAAACAAACACACACACACACACACAACCACATCAGTTATAACTGTCATGATATTCTGGGATGACGACGAGTTTACAAATTATCTCATTTCATTTACAAAACTCGTATGTGTTATGACATATGTAGATTTGATACAGTTAATAAAATGTACACTGACAGATTTATTATATTTTTAACAAGGAAGCTAATAAAAATACAATGATAGATTTGTTATGTTTTTTAACAAGGAAATGACCCATTACATCTACAGCAATAACGGATTTAATATAACACCTAGAATGTAACCAACGATATAACTTGAGTCGAAGGTAAAAACAAATTTTACCTGGATTTATTAGCCTAATGATTATTGAACATCGATTCGACCCATTATCCGAATAATGCCCTGACAATGCCATTAATAGACTGAATAAAGTCCTTACGAATATTATTATTAATTCCTTCGTTGGATTATCTTTTCCGTTTTTATTGTCATCACCCCGATCCATTCACAATTTGTTTGTAGACACTACAGGTCACTTATTCGATTTTGACGAAAGTGACGATATGTATCGGATCAAAACTTCACGGATTATGACCCCTGATTGTATGAAAAATCACATTTTTCAGCTTGCTGTCTGTCCATCCCTTGCAATATCTTTTGCAAAGGGCGTATCTTTCATTTCAACCGCTTGTTTCATAACCTTATGGTAGATATTGTACCTTTGCCATGTGGTAGAATTTGCCATTGTTTTATCTTGTATTATGGACAGAGGGCAAACCCAAGCCCAGTCACAGGCTTGAATGGGTATGGAAAACATTCGCCAAAGATTCGATTATGGAAATTTCTACCAAAGATCTAATTTGTGCTCCTTCAGTCCAGTCCACGTAAAAGAAACATAAATCGAACAGATTTGTAGTACATCACGGGACAACTAATCTTTACATAGAATAGAAAACATGATCCGAATGAAACAAGATTTCCTTAAATACTGGACGACTTTATAACCAATTAGGGTAAATCGTCATTTGTATCAATCTGATTAAAACACAGATCCTATTTCGTTTCGTTTTTTATAGTTCAAAATTTTGTTTCACTTGTCTTTACTACACTAGGATCTGGAAGAGTTGTTATCATTGACGTGTTCTGAATAGTGTGAGGTATTAGCCAATGAAACGGTCTGTTACGACGAGCTTTAGGCGTGTTTTGCACGGAACTGTGGGTATTCCACTAGTAACACTAATGCTGATTGGTTAAACAAATGTCTGATGTCATAGGCTCACTTGTCGCTCGTAACGAAACGAAATATAGAACTGTATGTTAATCAGATTGTCATTGTATCTGTCGTGCCTCAACGAATAGGTGACATATGATAGTGTCATATACTAACCAATCTACGAATGGGACGAGATATTGGTCATCTGTGATCTGAATATAGACCCACCATTCGCCGCAGTTTTTTTTTTTGTTCTGAAATTCGTCTTAATTCTTTAGTGGGCATAGTGTTTAACTGTTTGTGGGCAAAATACGGTTTCTGCGTGGATAGCGTTCATTAAACTCAAAATGCCACATTTTTCTATTAGTCTGATCAGTGTGTCATTGTATTTCGGAGTTTTGGATTTTATTTCAAGTTTTACAGACATGGTTGTCTCTACAACCTTTCAACCTTTCAAACAGCACGTCACAACAACTCATCTTTCCTCCAGTTTACTCAAGCTAATTTGAGTGTCTTGGCGGTACCAGGCGTGCCCCCCTGCCCGTGCGAATTTTTGATCGATTCTTATGTTGTTTCAGATACACACCTGAAACAATGTCCACTAATTTTAAGTTTGTCCTGCTCAATCTTTCGCCTGTTGACAGATTACAATATTTTCGCCGTAAAATCTGAAAGTTCTCTTTTAGTCTTAATTTGTCTAACTTAGACTTAGGGTTACTAGACATTAAGAAGCGACGACATTTACTCTCATTTTACCTTTAAATTTCTTAGTGTGTTCCTCGCATTAAATACTTTGTTACATGATTTGGTCAGAAAATATTATTCATTTCCATACTTTAGGGTCATTTGACGGAGCAACTGTTTATCAATATTAAGACTAATGCCCGTTTCCTGGTTTAGAATTTTCTCTTTATGTCATTTTACGGCTTCAGTATATATATCTGGAATCAAGCGAAAACATTACATTAGCCCTTTTCTGTAATTATAGAGTCTATGACCTATATCAGAGAAACAAATCTGAACTATTCATGTAACATTTGTAGGAGTTTATGTGAAGATGAAAATGTCTCAATTTGCACATTTTAAATGCGGATCGCAACAAACGGGGTCCAATAACCGTTCATTGTCTATTCTCTTCTAGGGCCTGTTTCACGAAATTTTAACTAAAGATAAAATCCAAAATTTAGTAGACACTTCAATTTTGATTGGCTAAGCACAATAACCAATCTAAAATTTCGATTTTATCTTAGTTAAAATTTCGTGAAACAGGGCCCTGGTGAACAGTTCGTTGTAACCAGAATCATCCGTTTATGAAAGCACTATGGGGAAGCTCACAGGAAACCACGAATTAAGCTTCATTCGGACTATAGGTTATGGCCGAAACCTTCATGTAAATCTGATATGTGCGTGATCTCGGATCATTTACACCTTTCTGTCTGAAATTAGGACAGTTACGATGTTTTTGCAACAAGGGGGGTTGGGTGGCCGAATGGTTAGCACGTGCGTGCTGTATCATACGGCCTGTTATTGAGTCAACTGGCGTAGTTTCGAATCCCCGATTGTACGTGACAAGGAGTAGGGTCGCCTGTCCAACCTCGTGGGTTTTCTCCGGGTCCTCCCACTGCTAAAAGACCCCTACGCGCAAGCGAATTATTGAAATAAAATTAAACCATATGTTGGTCCCGAAATGACCTAGTTTGTGTCGAGTGGACGTTAAACCCCATTTCTCTCTCTCTTTTGTAACAAATATAATTTATTTGAGAAGTCACGAGTCTATTACCCAACACGTTACATACACAAATGATGTTCTGTTCTGGTTTTCTTTTGTGATCGTGAACAGGCTATGGGCATCAGAGTTCTTTCAAAACTTGGTTAAATTGTTGATCGGGAAAAGCAAGAGAACCATATCGATTTCGGGACGGTAGTCATGGAACGTGTTATGTGGATCTAGTTCATATTTTTAGTGATTGGGACAGGTAGTAGACTCCCTTTCGACGGTGCTGGTAATGATAACAATCGTTTTTTATGGTTCTTATTGTGATAATACACTTACAGCGAAGAGAAGATCTTGAACAAATATTATGTTGGAAATCTTGGATTTGTTAGTTGGAACGGTTCTATGAATTTAGTTACACCCTACCTCGCCAATCGTCGCAAACCGCCATACTCACTAGTTGAGTTATTTACCACCGAGAAAGTTAATTTATGAAAATGTTAGTCTGCAAGAATATTTAAGTCTTCCGCGTAAAATCCAAAATACTCAAGATGGCGAATGCATACTCAGTATGATTGAGCACTCGGACCACACAAAGGTAGAGACACCAAAAGCGAATAACTTATGATTATGTCAGTACGCAAGAATCATTAGGTCTTCCGCGTAAAATTCCAATTACGCAAGATGACAAATGCATACTAAGTGTGATTGAGCAATCGGGGCAAACACGGTTCGCAGAATGCATTTTTGTTTTTAAGTATGGGAACACCAAAAGCCTATAAATAGTCGATGCTGTTCTTCCTTGAATAGAGAAGGCATGACTTCAGTTTCATGCTCATCGACACTAACATGATTAGGCGAAAGACCGAAGACATTTATCGTTCAAGTTCGTTGCAATAACCTCTGTGGGAGATTTTAATTTTTTAAATTACACGTCTCTTTGTACTCATTTAAAAAAACAGATCTCCACACATTCAGCATGTGCCAGTATTTAATAATTATTTTTTAAAAATGGAATTCTTTTTAACCTAATCACCTAAAAAAATAAACATTACACGCGTAGGAATACGCACTATGATCAATGCCGAGTGCCATTATGGACAACCAAAATAAAGAAAACTATTAGCCCCGATCCTTCAATCATTACACGTCTCTTTGATACTCATTTAAAAAAACAGATCTCCACACATTCAGCATGTGCCAGTATTTAATAATTATTTTTTAAAAATGGAATTCTTTTTAACCTAATCACCTAAAAAATAAACATTACACGCGTAGGAATACGCACTATGATCAATGCCGAGTGCCATTTTGGCCAATCAAAATAAAGAAAACTATTAGCCCCGATCCTTCAATCATGGCGTTTAAAGTCAACAAGGACACATTTTTCTGGCATTCTGACCAGAAAAATGAAGTGCCTTATTCATCAGAATGCAACACAGCCCTGCAAGTTAC